TCTCGCGCGTTTGCTCGTAAGAATATTTTTCATTTTTTCGTTGAAAGTTGTGCGAACAGTTTGAATATCGATAGCTATTATAACTTATAAGTGGTAAATACGACGACAGATGTACACATACTAAAGTAATAATCTATATAAATTTTCGTTACGTATGATATTTTCAAATGTAATCTCCACGGCTATTCCAATGTTATAATATGTATAGTAATTAGTAATTGTATACTGTATACTGTATAGGCCCAGTGTCCACCTTATCTGTGGCCGATAAAGTTTTATTGATTTACCCAATTAGTACCACAATTAGTTTAGCGATCACTTCATCATTAGACATTATTTTGGGCATAGCCCATTCGGCTCCCGATTTTCCTAAACGGCTCCCGTTTTCAAAAAGGTCAATTCCCAAACGGCTCCTGTCGAAAAAGGTTTTACGAACAGGGCAATACCCAAACGGCTCCCATCGAAAAAAGATAATTATTGATTTCATTATTGGAATATATAGTTCATTCACAAAACGTCATTAGAGTTTAACCAAAGGATAGACGTAGCATATAACTATTTATACTTTATAAGAAAAAAAATTGTAATATTAATAATTTGCAAGAAAAACATAATATATTATGCAGATTATTTTGTATAAATATTTCACAATTTACATTGCCGTACGGAATCATGTTCTACCACTTTTTTCGACGGAAGCCGTTTGGATATTGACGATTATTTTAAAATAAAATCAACATTTCCCAAATCATATGGTTATTAACGTTATTCAATAGAAAATAACGATAATTCCCACATTCATAGGTAAATAACGTAAATAACCGGAGAATAATGTTAATTTCCGATATAACACCATTTACCGTAACATATATATATGTTAACCCATGTAGTAGGACCTCCACTGGGATCCCTCAGAAATCTGTTTAATCTGCCTTTTTATTTTTATTAATTTTAGCTTATTCTATTCCATCACTTATTATTATTGTTCCCTTTCAAACGGATTGAATAAAACGTATGAACCAAATATATATATGTATATACGTAGGTATACACAAAACCTAAAAAGGTTGGCACTTATAGATTGTAATACTTACTTATATTAAAATTAATTTAGGAAGGGGCTAAAAAAAAATATCGCACACGGGCACCCATAGGCGTGTTTACGGCAGTGATCGTAAATACATGATTTATTCACCACATGTTTATATCAGAATTTTAAACACTTGTCAAAAAACTTGTAAATGTATTACAAGGTTCCTCGTATATTGTTGCTAGTGCAAATTTAAAAAAAAAATAAATTCACAATAATTTTTTATGAGCGTTTAGGCTTAGGATTTTGACAAAATTCGTAAAAATCACGAAAATTAGCAAATTAAATTTAGTTAAAAATTCATAAGTATTTTTCTTATTATATCTAAGATTTAAAAATTAAAAACAAAATTCCTTGTAAGCTTGTATACCTTAAAAAAAAATTTCTACCAGAAAGTCAGATTTAATTTTTATAAGCGTTTGAATAGTTGACATTTTTACAACATTAGATATTCACTCGATTTCTATGGTGAACCATATGTTTATATTTTCATCAATTCATATCCTTGATACAATTTTCAAAATATTTTGACTCATTTTAAGTTGTTAGCGTACATTTTAAATGTTCCTTTTTCTAAAAATGCCACTAAAATGTTATTAATTGGGTCAAAAAGCATGACAATTTAATACAAGACTCTTGATATATTGTTACAATATCAATTGAATAATATTAAAAATACTAGTCACGAATTTTTTTTTATAAGTATTTAAAGTTCAAATTTTTACCATATTTATCAAATTGAAAATTGAAATTATTTTGTAGTTAAAAATATATCAATTTTTCAATTTTTATAGCTAAGGATTGAAAATTTAAAACAAGGTTCCACTTAACAGTTTTTTCCATAACTAAGAAATCTAAAAAATATATAAATACAGTTATTTCGTACAGACATTTTAAGTTAAAATTTGGACAAAATTGCATATTAACACAAAGAATTATGTTGATCAATTTGTTGTAATTCGGTTCCGAAACAGCTTAATTTTACATAGGTATATTTAATATTTTTCCAGCATCACAGAAGATTTAAGAATAATGTATTAATATTAATTCAACTTACCGGCTTACATATTAATAATAACTAATAAGTAATAAGTAATAATAATATAAAATATCCTAGACTGACATACAGCCACTACAGTCATACAGCCTTCTTTCAGAATCGCGTGACACTCGTCCGCCCGCCGGACCGGTCGTGAGTTCTGTATAGAGGTTACAAGTGGCCATTATCCGCACCCATTCGCCATCTTGTATACTCCACTCCTGTAGTTTATTGTGTCTCCTACCAGGTGTATTTTTGTTTTTATTTAATTATCCTTATCTTGTATTTTTTCCCTTTTTATATTGTTCTAATTTCTTTGTCGCCCTCAATTTTTGGCTTTAGACATTATTATGTACACTTAACATTTTTATAATAGCCACTTGTGCTCTTCTTTCAAAATTGTTTTCCCCTTTTGTAGCCACTTTGCTGCTTGCGCTCAATTTTTTAAATAACTTTTTTCGTTTTGTTCTAAATTCTTAATTCCCCTTTGTTTGCCCCTAATTAAAAATCATGTATCAACAATGTATAAAATATTAATAATAGAACAAATTGCTTTATTTTATTCCAGTAACAAATTTTGTTTTTTTTTCTCAAATTTATATTTTCACCTTTTTGTATCCGAACCCTGTACTTGAAAATATGTATTTATAAAATTTTTATGACTGAGCCACTATACCGTAAAGTGCTACGTTTATTTTGTTCAATTCATAAAAGTACTTTTGGTATTCACAAAAGATTATTGTTTCTTTTTTTTTCTTGTTACCTATCGAGTGGATAAATCAATTGTTACAGATTTAACGACTAAAAACCCATTAAAATATAATATATTTACAACAGAAAACTTGATAGTCGTTTATAAAAAGTATTATGACCATCAACCGGCAGTATAGGTTTGAACCCTTAAACCCCCCTGCAGTACCGTCAGGTATTGTAAGTTTTATATCTCTTGGGAGTGGGACGTTAACCCTTAAAGCCCCCCCCCCTAGCTACAGGGCGATTGTAAACTCTCTCGATTTTAATGATATGTAAACTCTCCCGATAGCAAACTCTCCTGGGTCTACTTCAATACTACCTGACATGAACATATAAACTTTCCCGGGTCTACTTTAGTACTACAAGCTAGCCAAGCATGAGGCATTATTCGTATTACGCAGTTGGTAAAGATGAAAAATTTGACTGAGCTAACAAGTCAATATCGTTTTAAATTCTGCAATAAAACCTCGCTTAAATGGAACTTTGGTAAGGCGGAAACTCTGGTATTATTATTTTTGTGGTCTCTTTTCAAATTATATATAATTTTATCCCGTCAAGACGGAACCTCGCCAAGACGGAAACGGACACCTTTTTGTAATAAAAGTTGATGAAAAACCTCGCGAAGACGGAAATATAACATGATTTTCATGTAATAAATTTATTTTCGTAATGTCGATACCCATAGACAATCGATATACGAACGCGTACGATGACATCAGAAACTAATAAAATTGATATGTTTACGTTAAGGACAAAGACAACGACGAAAAGCAATATGATTAATATGAAGAGCCAGAAAATCTGGTATAAGATTACAAAATTTCCATCTGCTACCTCGAGGAACTACAAACATTTCCCCTCACAGTGTTCAATAGTGAAATTTTTGGATTTTACTTCGAGAGCCAGGAAGAGTGTAGAATGCGACACCTTTCGAAATAAAAAGAAAAAATCAATAACCGATTTTTTTCAATTTATTATTAATTTATACTGGCTAAAAATAAATATGTAATAAATATATATAAATAAAATAGGTATAATTATAAAATTAAGTTTAATTTTAAATTGTGTGTACTATGTATAATCTAGTTTAAAATAAATTTGTTATCTCTAATTAAATAAAATTAAATTTTTTTGCATACCCCTTCAAGACGGAAACCCCGTCAAGACTGAAAAATGTCATGGCTCCATGCGATTCCATCTTATCGATGTTTTACTGTATTTAAATTAAAAATAGGTTGACAGTAATAAAATATTTAAATATATTTAAATTACAACTACATATTAACGGTAATACAATATTGATGATAAATATTTAAAATGATAATACAATCTCTGCAGTTAAGCCAATTCATATAGTGCAGCAATAACATTTAAAATAACTCGGGAGAGTTTACACAACTCATTTAGGTAAACATAATATTGACCGTGGAGAGTTTACCATCGGGAGAGTTGACTAGTTTTAAAAATCGGTAGAAGTTACCATGTCCAGTCCAGTGGCGGCATGATAGGGCAATCCACAAAGCCAATACCCCGCGGGCCACAGCTATAGAATAACGCATGTCCACATATTATTCAATGAGTTTTTTTTTATTATTTATTCAATATTGTGCGTTATTAGCATGTCATTGACTTATACATTTGTTGTTTCTTCAATAATCATCAATATTAAGTGTAAGTTTGTTACATTGTTGATGGTTTTGCAAATTACGTTTTTGTTATGTAAAATTTAGGCAGTGGTGGTCAACTTCTATAACATCTATACTGGCATTATTGGCCTCATGAAATAAAAATGTCACGCTGTCACTGGATATAATTTTAAATATCTAGCTTACATTTGGTTAAAACAACCCAAATAACTGTAATAAGAATCTGCAGTTTAAATAATACAACGGAGTTTGAGAAGGGGTAAATCTACAGACATTTAATTTTTCAAAAGCCACGCCATGCAGAATCAGAATGTATAATATATTATTCAAATTATATATTATATTCAAATTAAAGAATTTGCTTAAATTTGTACAGTGTTAAATTCTATTAAACATATAAAGTTTGGTCTAAGTTCTTTATTAAAATTGTTGTACCTATATTATTAATTATTATTTATTGATTTCTTTCCTCGAGAATGAAGACCGTGCACATCTACCGCCGTTAGCCATAGTCACGATTTCCAGGGTGGCTCTTTACATATAATTCAACAATGAATTACGCATCTTCAAAAAAATAAATGGAAAAATATGTTCGTAGGATCCAAAGTAAACACTTTAAGTGGTTTAAATCTGTAAATTCTTGAATTTTTTATCTAAAAATGAGTTTCAAATACATTTATTTGTCTGAATGAATTTGTACCAATATTAAGATGTATGTTGACCCAGCAGCCATTCCCTATTATTAAATCCAACAAAAAATATTTATTATAATCTGGATAAATTTATTCCCTAATTCAATTTTCATAGGCACAATTTATATTCGACTTATGTATTATGTTTATAATATTATTATTTGTATTGTCATTTGTCAGTATATTTCATGCTTACCGAAGTTATAATACCATTGTTTATAGTAAATATGTTAAAAATGGTAAACTCCGATAAACAGATGGATAGTTGATAATAAAATAAGTTAAGCTGTAAATGAAATACAAAATACATGTGTTATAGAACAAAAAGAAATATTATTGAAGAGACTATAAAATTATATATTCATTACTTTGATATCATCTTACCTCTTCTTTCGTACTACTATCTAAGTATCGGTTGTTCATTTCCGTTATAAGCTTTTTGATTTTAACCACCTATAAAAAAATGAACTGCATAATAAAAATATATTTATACAAATTGCAATTATTACATACATGTATTGCATAATTTTAAAGAAACATTTAATTTAACTTATATTTAAATAATCAAATAAACTAGTGATGTAAAAACAAAGATGTATTTCTACTATCATGATACTATCAGGATAAGTAATATAAATGTAGATTGTGTATAGAAACTAATAGTCTAAGTTATAACTTTAAAAAAGAATATTTTTAGTTCCTATGATTAACATATTAATGTTAAATTTGTACAAATTAATAAAATATTAATGTTTAAGTAACAACAAAACAACATGTACAGTTGCAAGTCGAAAGTGTACATCGTCAATGATTGGGTCACTGTTAATTGTAATGGACTAATGGATATGCTAAACGCTTAAACCTTAAACTCTGAGTATAAGACAGTTGTAAAAATTAAAGACACGATTTGGTGGGTGAACTAACCTGTGGAGTTCAATAATTATGTGTATATGGCATAGATTATAGACTTAATGTACCATATACCAAAATAAATGTCATACATTTTCGTGAAAAATTTCAAATGAATTAAAATTGTCATACATAGACTAATTTTAGAAGTAAAGAGTTTTAAAGAACATTTCACAATACAATTTACCTGTTTAGTTGAATAGTGTGCTGTGATAATGATGTTGCAAAACCTTAAAGAATATTGAAACATCCACCCTATAAACAAGAACTTTGATCGAAGTACTGGCTTATAAAATGTAGTGTATGCTTTCGATTGAAATACTTCAATATAAATGTCGATTAACGACGCAGCACCTATACAAATGATCGACAGACCCATTTGAAAACCAAACAAACCTTTCAGGTCATTAACAGCTTCTCGAGTTAACCAGTATTTAATTCTCAAAAGTTCGATAATGTTCGCCAATGGACTTATTTTGTCCTTTGAACAGTAAAAGTCTTTTTCGTACATGATATCACACGGTGACGTATCATTATTCCTCCAAGGATTCATTCGGCTTGCAGTAAACGGATATCGTACACTGTAGTTGTAATAGTTCTGTTCTTCATTTATTTGAATTAACTTTTCAATAATATCTCGAAACTTCGTGTACACTATAAAACACTGGATGGCAAAATGCAATTCCGTGCATACCATGCTAAAGTTGTGAACGTAATAGAAAAAAAAATAGGTCGTCAACAAAATTGGATTGGTGTGGTTTGTAAGTATGTAATACAATTTTAAGCCATTTATGGGTATGATAATACTCATGCTCAAGAAAATCAAGGTGAAAGAAAAGTACTCGATGTGCTTCAAGGCGACGGAGTTCACCGGCATGTAAATCTCGAATCCCTCCAATGTTGTCTTAAACTTTTGATATTTAAACTTGACATTGTATATAACTACCATTCTTGATATCAATGAAGAAATGTTCACTGTATTACATATTAACAACGACATAGATGTAGAAAATGCTTTCGACCAGTCATCGAACTCGAGTACGACGTAGGGTGACATAATTGCCATAATTATGCCAGTGGTAAATAATATAACCGAGTAAACGATTTGCCACATATTGTTATCGTCATTCGAGTCGAAGAATATCACACCAAAAATCTTCAAAATGTATAACATCATTAGAGTCCACGTATACTATAAGTCCATTTACCTAAATAATATGATACATAAATATACTAGTTGTAAATCTTAAAAGAGGTAGGTCAATCAACATTTAAATTTTAATTGAACAATATCTAATTTGAAATAATATTGTTGATTTTCTATAAAAAATATACATAAATATTAAAATCTGCATACAGAAGTGATTCTGTTGTCTGCTGGTGATGGTCATGCCAACAGCAAGCAAATACAATGTTCTTATTTAGGGGAATAGACCGAGTATAGTACAGATGTGATACTTACTGACCATTTTAAAGGAGTTAAATATAGGCAATTTTGAAGAATCATAATAGTGTGAATATATATATGAGCTGTACTATCAGTATGTTGTATGGACATAGTATAAAGAAATAGAGGAGCGATCCGGGGGATAAAAACATGTAAAATAAAATGCACTAATAATACAGAAATATTAATTTTTTTTTGTTTGGTCAAAAGTAAGAATTGTTTACTTATCATAACCAATTAGTGGTGCGAGACACTGTCTTGGAAATTTTATAAAAGTGCCACTGCGCAAGAGAAATCTGTGCACGGGGCGATAATTTCATGCTATTTAAGTATATACGGATGTATGGCACAAATAATTTTTTTATTTTATTAATCAAGTTATAAGAATAAATTTATATTAAAACCTTCCCTGAATCTAGACCTATTGATTAGTGAAAACTGTACAAAAATCCGTTGGGTAATTTTTGAGTTATGCGGCTACATACAAAAAAGGGGGTTCTATTTTATATAGTAGTATGATGATAATATAAATTATAATATCATGTGCACACACAATATAATTTAATCTATATTTTACCAGATGATCTATTTAAAATAAGACACTTATTATTCCAGAAAAAAATAGAAAATACATACATCTTTTGCATCATTTTAAGTCGTCAAAACACCCTTAAATTGTACACTGTTTTGAACGACGACATTCATTTTTAATTTCATATTCCGGAGCATTGTATTATTTGGAGTATTTAGATCTATAAAATCATAATATCTGACAATTAGTTCATCGATTATGAGTGTTTAAAGTTTTGGTGAGCGATAAGTACCTATATTTACGGCCAGTTGACCAATATTTTACCAGGTACTACTCCACACCGCTCATTCAAACTTGAAATACTTATATAACTCATAAACTACTCACCCCAAATTCTATTCTTATACGTCGAAGATTCAAAAAAATTATTCTGCTATGGAATAAGGAATATCATGTATGATGTTAATAAAAATTTAAAAATGAAAGCGAACAAAAAAGTAAAAACTCACATAATAATAATAATTTAACATAATTCTTTCAGAAATATTTAATTTTAACGATAACATTATGTAAAAAAAATGTTATTACTTAAATTTTATAATCATTGATAGGTATTACCTGTATACTTACCAATAGTGTGCACTGTGCAGGTTGTATAAATTATTATGTTTTATATTCACTATGTAACAGATTGCAAAAAAAAAATTTAATTTACTATACCCCATACTCAGCTATATCTGAAAATACTATTGTAAGTAAAAAAAACACAATAACTAAATTAATAACTTTTTAGAAACAAACGGTGGCACAATTATTTTTATAATCACTTTTATGTAATGTTTAACCATTAAAAAAATTAAGGTTCTCATTTATCATGACTGATACGTGTCAATTATACTAATTTATCAAATATTTATCATATGAAGTAGGTATCAATCATTTTAAATGCTCAACATAATGATCCAACATTATTATTTCAATGATTTTGGTATTAAATGAATCGTAATAATAATAAATGTAAACAATAATAATGTCTACAGCATGTATATGTATTAATGTATTATGTACCTATCGGCTATCTATAGTATCTAACACATAGTTTTAAAATATAAATGTATAAAAAGTTCAATACCTATAGATTGTCAAACTCAATTTTTTAGCAAAAATTATATCGAACATCTGTAACATATAATATTAAATATTAAAGTAAAATAAATGACATTAATATCATAAAATATACTTAGTTATTATTTATATTATAGGCTGAGAGTCTATCTTTACTCAGAGTCGTTTTTCGTATAAATATAGATACTATCATACTATATATTATCCATTACAGTGACCGCTCTAGACTCTCGGCACTTAACCTCTGTGACTGTGCAGTAGAGCGGTCTGTACATTTTTTTAAATCATTATATATTTAAATATAAGTAATATATGATACCAAGAAATAAGAACTTATTAAAATTACAAATGGTCATTCGCTAAGTAGAAATGATGAATAGAATATTATTTTTCAATTAAATAGTTTATCCTTATAAAGTTATTTGTATATAACTTTTGATCCAAGGTATGCTACGGTTAAATAACTATAATAATTTGTATGTATGTATATTTTTGCATATATTTAAAACAGATTTAAACCAAGTAAGTACATCTCTTTCTTACGTTTATCTATTTTTTGTTTTTTAACTTTGTTGCAATTTTGAAATCTTATGAGCTAATAAATTGTTTGTTAAAAAAAAACAATTACAATATAAATATTAGATAACAGAAGAATAAAGACGATACGATACCTATAAGTATTTAATTGTATTTTGTATAGATAGGTTACCTACCAGTTTATAATTTTGTTTTTGGGTGGTTTGATTAATAATGATCCTTATGAGTGGTTTTGCTTTGGTCCGACTGATATTGTACTAATATAAGTATATATGTTGCACCAGCAGACATCATCTATTATTAAAAACAATATTTAGATTAAAATAGGGACTGGCATTATACAGGGTTCAACGATTATTCAAATTTAATATTATCCATAATAATACAATTAAATACCTGTACGATAAATAAATAAAAAACCTAACACGAAACATGAAATACATCAAACGCATGACCTTAAATTATACTCGGACATTTAACTGTATTCAGTAAGTTGTCTTTCATTTATTTTTGAAAAATTAAAAATTAAAATAAATCATACGTGAAATCACATGGAACTTAGTAAAATCGTAGGTAGACTTAAAAAAATACGGTGGCGCTGTGGTAATATGAATTACATAAATCGAAACTTAAATCAGAGAATCAATAAGAAAGAAAGTCAGTTGCTTAAAAATAATATATTGAAAATTCAAACTAAAAACTCGAAATAAAAAAAAAATTGTTTTGATGCGAGTGATATGCAGGAAAAAAAGATAAACAATTTGTAAAATTAGGTCCTTTATGCTGCAGTGAAAAAACCAGTATAATATTTAAGCCTTACGGTCAGTGCCGCAACTAGAGATTAAAGGGCCCAGGTGAGATTAAATTTTGGGGGCCCCTATTTAAAATGGACTCATATTCATGAAGTTTATTTTTGAAATTGGCCGAAATGGGCACCTCCAGCACCTCAGCTAATAGCGGCGTTGCTTAAGTCAATGCGTTCAAACTATTTCGTATCACCTTCATTATTGAATGATAAAATAAGTCCAGTGGCGTAGTGTATAAAAACAAATGGTGTTGCTTTAATAATAATAGTGTGTGAATTGTGTGATCTACCCCTTATACTATAACAACACATTTTGTTTGACTGTTTATTGTTTAATATAGATTAGCTAGGTTATCATCTTAGTAGAACACATAGCCACATAGGTATATATTGTAAAAGTTGTACTATATTCTACTAATCAACTCTATTATAAGTTAATTATTGGTATCTATCAATACTCATTACTCATTCACGAGCCACCTAACAATAACAGGAATTTACTGAGTAACACTTGGACAATATATTCACGCCAATGTAGCAAACACAGCATAATTACCAATTTTGTATTGCGTTGATAACATTTAATAATTCAGGGCCGTAGCTAGGCGCTGGCAAGAGGGCATTTGCGAGGGGCGCAATTATACGAAAGGCGCAAGTTCATCGAGTGGCAATCTCAATTCAAATATGATAGTTGATAATTAACAAAAAAAAAAAACCGCCGTTTATTTTTAGCGTTATCGCAATAAGTTTCTCGTCGCGCAATCGCATAATATTGGAAACCACGCTATTCCAGTCACCACAGCTACATCTGAAAGAAGCTTCAGTAAGCTGAAGATCATAAAAAACTATTTAAAATCTACGATGAACCAAAATCGTCTAACAGGTATGGCAATTTTGTCTATTGAAAAAAGTTTGCTTGACCAAATATCATTTTTGTTTTAATCTGTTATTATTATTTAATTATAATACATAATAGAGCAATTTTTATAATAATAAAAAAATATTTATATAATAAAATAAATATAATATACTTGTGCTACAATCAACAGTGTTTTTTTTTTTTTAATAATGAGCATGGTAGATGAAAAAAAATTGTATGAAGGGGGGGGGGCGCAAATTTGCTTTTCTGTCAGGAGTTTTACTTGTTCTTGCTACGGCCCTGTTTAATATGGGTATCTTTAGTTATTTATTTATTTATTTATTTTACATAATATACGCCGTGAGGCATTATAAAGTGACAATATGTATGGTTAAATATTGGGACATAAATATATAATAGTACATAAAGAAAACAAAAAATAATTAGAGTGGAATTAAATTAATTTTGGAAAGATCGGAGCATGCGATGGATCGGGTTGTTATGGCCGTATGATGTAGAGTGTGCAGGTATATACTATATAGAACTGTCCTTGGTTGCGGTTATTATGTGAAGGTACTCTGAAGGATATATTTGATAATAAGTAGCCCATTGAGCAAAGCCATTATAAAGTTTTGGCCAACAAGGGAAAGGCGGGAATGGAGTGTTGGAAGATTTAGGACTTCATGTGAATAACTATAGTCATGGCAAGGATCGGGCAATTTAAGAATAAAAGCAGCGTATGCCAGGAATTTATTCTGCACACGCTCAATTCTTAGTTGGTCTTTGGCTAGGTATGGGTGCCAGATAACAGTACCATACTTGAGCAGAGAACGAACTAAAGAGATGTAAAGGGAACGGAGACAGTTAGCAGAGGAGAAATGTTTAGTATTACGCTTTATAAAGACAATAACTTTTAGAGCTCTACCCACAGTTGTCTCAATGTGACGACTAAAACAGAGTGAGGAGGAATAATGGATTCCAAGATCATTGATGGAAAAGACACGATGGAGCGGAGCGCCGTTTGTATGGTGATTATTAAGGATATTAGTTCGAGATCTGGAAAAGGTAATGATTTGACATTTACTGAGGTTCAGGGATAAGCCAAGGCGAGCAACCCAATCCGAGAATTTGTTTAACTCATCCTGCAACAAGGAACAGTCATCGGGGGCCTTAATTGTATGGAACATTTTTATGTCGTGTATAATTTATATTGAATAAATAGATACAATTTTTTAACTATAAAATATTGACTATTTTGATAAAATATAAATTTAGGTTTAATATTCCCTATGGCCTCTGCGCATTATTTGCTTACCGAAGTTATGAGACTATTGTTTATAGTCAAAACGTCAAAAATGGTGAACTCGAGTGAACAGATAGATAATTGATTATAAAATATTAGTAGCTGTAAATTAAATATATAAATTAAAAAAATAGATATAAGTATAATGTATAATATATATGTATTATATTAATAAATAAGAATGAAGAATTTTTTATGAGAATTAACAGAATAACTGCTTGAAAATTACCTCTTCTTTCGAACAACTATCTATGTATCGATTGTTCATTTCTGTTATTATCTTTTTGGTTTTATCCACCTACAATAAAAAAAAAAAATGGCTGAATAATAAGATATTGTAATAAATAGTTAATTAGTAGGTACTTATTATAATACTTGTAAAAGGCATCAGACATTACCACATTAAAGCTTATTTATTTATTTATGAGATAGTTTTAGCCCAAGCCCCAAGATATGTAATTTACCTATATTATAATTTAGAGATATTATGGTACCTATACTAAAACATAAGTTAATAACCTAGAAAATAAATTTTACATGAGCAGGAACATAGAGTGTAATATCTTTTTATAACAGGAATTCCATCCAGTTGTCACTATTCGCTACTCACAACTTAGATAGCTATCTTTTATTGTTACGCCGATTTTGTGAAATTGCTGATTTTATGAAATAGGCAAAAAAATTGCCGATTTCATGGAATCAGCATCACTGTTGCAGAAAACGTGAAATCTGCAATTTTTCTGCCGATTTCATGAAATCCGCAGGCCCATTCTTAAAATATTATAAATAATTGTGTTGTACTCATGATCTTACATATAATGCTGAAGATAAAATAAAATCTGATTGTAATAATAAAAAACTAAAGTTATAAAAATATACTTAGTTTTTATTTATATTTATATTATTATTTTTTATTTATTTTAATTAAGCGGATTAAATAACCCGATTAAATATTATTAAAAAAAAAAGAGAGTTGGTTATACATATTGAAGTAGAGTTACTAAATATTTACATTTATAAATTTTGACAACTATTGCCTGGGTGGCACGCCGAATTACACATCATGTCATTTTTCCTACATGTGCACTTTTTTGATGTGCAATTCGTACGGCAGGTACAACGTCGATATCCTTGTCCAGTCCCAACTGATCCTAATCGGACAAGTTCCCGTAACGAATATTCATTTGATTGAACGTCTGTTGTCGTTAAGGAACAGTACTTCGTAGCAGCCAAACTGTTCCGCTCCAGCCATGTGTTTAGAGTTCCTTCTTTGGTTGCTATACGAAATTTACCATATTTTTCTTCCATTACAACCGAAAGAAGGTTGGCGGCATCTCCTCGCCCTCGATCTACCGACGGGATTGACACCAGAACATTGTCGCCAACTTTTAAGCGAGGGAGAATGCCTTTGCCTCTCGTTACCATCCTATCCGCTTGGCATTTTAAATTCTGTGCAGCAATTTTGCGTCGTGCTACAGCAGGATGATCGGAAACTACCTCTTCAATATTCTTCATAAAAATGTTAATAATTAATCATAATAGTTAATAATTAATGATTTTAATTACATTATATCCATAGACTTACTTCGTCGGTGTCACTTTCAATATCCAAAATGTTTCGTGTGGTCTTTATTAAGTTATCAAGTTTCTGTGCAGTATTATCTTCTAATAATTCATTTGTATCCTGCGTACCCTCTAAATCTATTGTCTATAAAAAAATATTTTTTATTATTTTATCAGCTACTACTTTTTGTCGATCGTAACCAAATTTAAAAAAATCTTAAAATGGGTCGAACAATAAAAAGTTTAGGAACCTCTGCCTTATACCATTTGTTCGGAACACCGATAAGATAATAATATGATACGATACGGCGGTCGTCCGTCGATACGTACGATTAAGGAATTTAGTTATATTTAATTGTATGAAAATCTATAAATTTTTTTTGTAATGTCGTAAATCGTTAATTAAATTAATAAAAAATACTTCATAACAAACACAAATTTTAGTTGTTCAATAAATTATAAAAAATGATAAAGGTGTGAACGTACGAAATTAAACCAGCAATCTATATTATAATTTCCCGTTCCAAAATTATACACCATTAATTCTACTCACTTCAGTATTGAGTACTTGTACGTCCTCATCGTTTCGATATTCCGGATTGGTGGGAGTAGTCAATGGATCCAAAAGCATGTCTAACATTTCTTCTTCTAGCGTTCCTGTCATTATATGTTCCAACAATTCACGAGGTACTTTTGTTGCCAGTCCCATTCGTGCTTTTTGACCAAAGACTGATTCATATGGAGTCATCTTTATAGCTTCGTGGTATGTGGTATTAACGCCCCATTGTACAACGGCGAGGCCGTAACTCCATGCGGCAGTTTTGTTATCTCGCATCCACGCCACCAGCGAATCCTTCAGTGTACAATTACCTCTTTCTACAGATCCTTGGCTTTGTGGATAACGTGGCCGACCATTTACTAATATTAAATCTGGCCATAATAACGCTAATTCTTTTATAACACCGGCAGTGAATTCGCGACCACTATCGGACTGTAGAACGTGAGGTGCACCAAACGTCAAAAATATGTGTAACAGTTCTTTCGCCACTTCCGAAGCCTTTTTGCATTTCAGAGGCCGGAAAAATGAAAACTTTGTCAAGTGTTCTTTGTAATGAAGAATAAATTTAAAATCACCGTCAGGTAAACTTTGAAAGTCAACAAGGTCCACTTGCCCACGTTCATTTAAAGAAGAAGCTAAAATAGGCCGCACAACAACACCTCGCGTACTTTTTTTTTTTGATTTTTCCACACACCTTTCACAATTAGCAATATAAGCTTTTACATCAGCCATAGTAATATTAGAGTAATGCTCCATTATTTTTTTGTGTGTTTTTGTCTCACCTTTATGTCCACTGGCCACATGCATATCACGGATAATACTATGGAAACTGTCGACTACTGCCATAATACGTTGATCGCGTTTCCGTCGCACACGTCGGACGCCAGCTACCTCGATCAAATCAAATTTCTCACGGACGTGATAATACCGCCTATCTTTATTTATAGAAGCATCATCAGTTAAAATTTTAACAGCTTCGGCATCTCGTTCTGCTGTCCATTTAGAGTCCATAGTTAATAAATATTATTATTTATTATTTTATTATATTTATAATTGATTATTGCAACTAATAAACGCACTTTTAGAACCGTCACACACTGTTAACTATTTCAGCAGGCGAAACGAATAACTGAACGTTGAACATGTAGGTAGGGAATATTTGTCACATTATTTTATCAAAACAATACAAATGCCTTAGTAACTATAAGATAAAGTCACGCGGCACGGCAGTGTGGAGGCGTCTATCATCATAGGTAATAAAGATAATGATGTGGTAAGGGTAACGCCAATGGGTTCAAATATTGGTTATTTATATATCTATCACTATTCGTAATAAATTATGTTCGTAATAATATGATACCGAATTCATGAAATCGGCAGAAAAAAGTATGCCTATTTCATGAAATCGGCGAACTTTAATTGCGGATTTCATGAAATCAGCAATTTCACAAATTCGGCGTAACAGCTATATGGTATATGATACTATGTAAGATTAGGTTATGGATTTTATTTTTATTTGCTTTTATCTTAAAAGGACGTTACACTGACATTCTTTGTCTCCGTTTTACAAGTGCGGTGGTGACGTAGCCAATGTTACGCTCAGCACATCAAGATTAGCTCCGTAAGTTTAAAAGTAATAGTGAATTGACCCCTTATAAAATTTAAAGAGAACATTACTATCTAGGGCATCTCATAGGTTTTATATTATATTTTAATTGTAAAACGAGTTATGAGTATTTTAAGATTGTAAACGGTTTGTACATCTTAAAATAATTATAGCTCGTTTTACAATTAGAGTAAGTATATTAAGCAATTTAGTCTAATTTTTAAACTAAGCTAAACGCGAGCCGCTGGGCGTGTCAAACTTGAATTAGATTAAAAGTAACTAGTTATTTATTAAGTTTATATCAATGAAAATTAGTCGAGTTATAAATTAAGTAATTGAAAATTAAATTTAAAAAAAGTTAAAATTAACTTGACTTTAACTTTTTAACTCGTTTATGCACAAGCTTGCTGGTGTCACTGTGTCAGTGCGACAAAAAAAAAGATCCAAATTAATTGAAATTCAAGTCCTACTAAGTACTAATTACTATAATAATATCTATGTGATATATTATGTTATATGTATAAGCAATAAACAATAAACTAAACAAAGTACTGACTATAGCCCCTTATAGTTATAGTTACAATATTTTATATAGACACTCCAGTGTTCATGAATTGTTACATTCATACTGTAGAATACCTACATCATATCCTGACATGACTACCTACCTATTGACTATACAAAATGTCCATATGAAATTTCAATCTTTGAAAACCTTGACAAGTTTGGTCAAATGGACCATTTTATATAGGTTGTTTGAACACAAATAAATATATAATGCGTTTAGTCAAACAAACACAATTTACCTGTTTAGTTGTAGTGTGCGCTGTGATAACGATGATGCAAAACCTTAAAGAATATTGTAGCGTCCACCCAACAAATAGAAGAGTGGATCGAAATACTGGTTTATAAAATGCACTGTATGCCTCCGAAAAAAAAAATTCAATGTATGTGTCGTGTAACAACACAGTGATTACACTAATGATCGATAGACTAATTTGAAAGCCAAATAAATTTTTTAGGTCATTGACAGCTTCTCGAGTTAACCAGTGTTTAATTCTCAAAAGTTCAATAATGTTCGCCAATGGACTGACTTTGTCCTTTGTACAGTAAAAATCTTTTTCGTATATGATATCACAAAGCGGCATCGTATCATCACACCTCGTTGGAGTCACTCGCCTTACAGTAAACGGATATCGTACATTGTAGTTGTTGTAGTTCTGTTCGTCATTTATTTGAATTAACTTCTCGTTTATATCTCGAAACTTCGTGTACACCACAAAACATTGGATGGCGAAATGCAATTCCGTGCACACCATGCTCAGGTTGTGAATGTAATGGAAAAAAAAATAGGTCGTTATCAAAATGGGATTGGAGTGATTATTAAATATGTAATACAATTTTAATCCATTTATGGGTATGATAATACTCATGCTCAAGAAAATCACGGTGAAAGAAAAGTACTCGATGAGCTTCAAGGCGACGGAGTTCATAGGCATGTAAATCTCGAATCCCTCCAATGTTGTCTTATACTTTTGATATTTAAACTTGACATTGTATAAAACGACCATTCTTGATATCAATGAAAAAGTGTTCACTGTATTACATATTAACAACGACATAGATGTTGAAAATGCTTTCGACCAGTCATCCAACTCGAGTACGACGTTATAGGGGGACATAATTGCCATAATTACGCAGTAGTAAATAATATGACCGAATAAACGATTTGCAACATGTTGCTATCGTTATTCGAGTCGAAGAATATCGCACCAAAATATTTCAAATATAACATAATTATAGTTCACGCACCTATACTACACAACCATTGTCCATGGTACCTATAAATGATAGAATATATAGACATATCATGTACATATACATATACATATACACATTACACATACAATATAATATCAATTTAAAGTAAAACACTCGGGCTCCTTGAAGTTTGTCGCCTAACTTGAATATTTTTGTACCAAATTTTATCCAAAATTTTTAAGTTATTCGTAAGTTAATGTAAGCACAAATTGGGAATTTGTAAGTTAGCCGTTTTCAATAATCCGCAAAAACTTAAATCACAGCTAACTCCTTCGAAATTTGGCCGTTTTATCATTTAAAAGTTTTCTACCGAGCCAAAATGTCCAGCGCAATTTGTAAGTATTTGTAAGCAAAAATTTGAAATTTGTAAATCATCCCTCCCTTAATTATCCTTAAATAGAAGTCGGCCAAGTTGTATACAACCTTTTCAACAAATATCTTTTTCTTTGCAAATTGCACTGGATACTTTGGCGCAGTCAAGTTGAAAAAGACTTTTTTTATCAAAAATTAAAGGGGGTATGACTTACACATTTTAAATTCTTGTTTACACATACTTAAAAATTGCACAGATACTTTGACGCAGTAAAATTGAACAAGCTCGATGAAAAACGGCCAACTTCTTTTTAGAGATAATTAAGTAAGGGATGACTTACAAATTTCAAATTTTTGCTTACAAATATTTTCAAATTGCGCTGGACATTTTGACTAGGTCGAAAACTTTGAAATGATAAAACGGCCAAGTTTCGCAGAAGTTAGCCGTGATTTAAGGTTTTATGGATGATTGAGAACGGCTGAACTTACAAATTCCCAATTTGTGCTAACATGAACTTACAAATAACTTACACATTTTTGACAAAATTTAGTACAAAAATATTCACGTTAGGTGGCTAACTTCATGGGCCTAGACACTTATTTTTCAGAAATCGCACTAACGTTTTTGAAAATATAATAAATTAATAAATAATCTTTAGCGTCATTATAAGTCTTTAAAAACCATAATTATTGGGTTTTTCGTTATTTTTATTGACAACTTTCCTAAACCTACTTTTAACCTTCTACCTTCCTATGTCCTTGTCATATCTGAAGTTATGATGAGCAAAATCAACATTTTTCGGGGTACCGCTCCGTACCATTACTCATCCAAACTTTAAATAACTATAGCAAGGCATGGGTTTTATATGCGTTTGCATATGTTCTAATATTCATTCAAAACATACCTCAGTGATACAGAAACATGTTTTATAATACCAGCTAGTCTACAATAATTTTTTTTGTATCTTTTGCATTTCTTACTCTTTTTCAAGTGCTAATATTTGTATATCTGTTACGGGCAATGTGGAATGCCGGGCAATGTGTACATTGCTCGGTCA